GTGGGGTTGTGGGCGTCATGCATGAGTGAAAAGGTGGGTCTGATGTGAGTAGTAGGACTTTGCTTGTCTTCTTTTGATTGTGTTGTTTGCGTGGTGTGCAGGTGAGTAAAAAGACTGTATAAAAGTGAGACAAAATACTATTTGATAAAATGACGGAGAATTTTCGCCTCCTTACGATTTTCCTTTTGTCAGTGAGTTGGGTGAACTTGCTTGCTCTTTCCGAAGGATAATCGATGAGTTCCGTGAGAAAAACAATTTTGAAAACAGAAATAGAATCAAAGCATAATGAATTTAACTTTTTCCGGGAATTGACCGTCTCTATTCCGAATGACCTTATCTGCCTATACCTGTCCAAATGATTCTCATTCTTTATCCCTTTTGATTTCCCTTTGATTAAGTTAAAACACCGAATTCATGAAAACCTAACAAAATGATAAAACCTAACACTTTTTATAGAATGAAAAAATACAACATCAAACTGTTACTTTTGACACATAAAAAATAATATTTTTAACTGTGTCCCGAGAAAGGATGTAAAAAAATGGGCAAAAAGTCTAGCAATTCTTAAAATATGCAAGAAAATCATTTTTAGCAAAGAGTGTGTTATAGAACTATAAATTGTTCTTAGTAGATTGACAAAAACAAAGCGTAAATAAAACAATCTTTAAAAACTCAAAATATGTATAAAAAAAAAATAGTTTTAGTGAATACTCATTTATAGATTTATAACTCATTTTCAATAATTGGTAAAAACCAAAATCTGTGAAAACTAATTCATAGATTTATAAATCATATAAGTCATTTTTTGAGCCTACTGTAAAACCCTTGTCAAAAAATATACGTTATGTAAAAGACAAATTCAAACAATTTTTGCCTTGGAAACATCTTCAAATTCTTAACCAACCTTGATCTAAAATTAAGAAATGATAAAATATTTTAATAAAAAATAATATATTCGTCCATGTATGAGAGAACATATTCAAGCGAACATATTCATAAAAAAGACAACATATGGCGTGTCTGGGAGACCCTCCAATACGTTATGATTTCTTTAGATAAAGAAAAAAATATAATATTTTGGTTCATGAAGAAACAATATTTTGAAAGGTAGTGATTATCTGTAAAAAAACCTGTTTTTTTCCTCACCACTTCGAGTGGTTCTGAAAAAGTAGTTTTTTTTTTCATTTTTTGCGGATCTTTAACTTCACCTAGAATTTTATTGATGTAGGAGGCCTGAAAAACGTACAATGAGAATCTTTGAAAATTTTCGTGCAAACCTAACAATTTTTTTTGTTAGGTTTTCATAACTCCTATGTTTTACCATGAACTTAGGAAAAATGAGAACAATTGAAAGTTACTTGTTGTGAATACATGTTGTCTCTCCAGGAAGCAAATAGGGCGGGGGTTCGTTGCTTCAATAACCTACCCTGTTATTGACCTAGAGTGGACCGTTGTACGGGGGGGTTATTTTGCCGATTCGGTGGAGACGGTCCGACTTCTGATATTCGAGTTTTGTGCTCGGGCGAGGAGGAGTACCCCAGACCACTTCCTAAAGGGAGAAGCATGCAACACTTCAAGCAATGCCCATGATCAAGTAACCTATCACCCAATAAGATTGAGAAAGTATGGAGACAGGTGTGAACGTGTCGAATTTTGAGTCCGCGGTAGGTGGAATGAATGACTTTGGCAACGCGTCTCATCAACTCAAAACTAAGGCAGCCGATTACCTTGTCGGCGGCATCTATGTTATTGTCGAAAAACCAACCCCTTGTTGACAGTTGTATGATTGTTTTGTGGAGTTCGACCTGAGATGGTCGGATTGTTTTTTTTTTTAATCTTGTGTGATTGGATGTATTGTATGATGATTAAATTCTTTCAGTTATCATTTCAGATTATGTTCCTGTCGACTACGGTCAATTTTTTTCCATATAACTATCTGTGGATGTTTAACTTTCGTTTGACTTCATGTCTCAGGGACTAGGATTAAGTTGAGGGTTTCACGCTTGGTTGAGACCGTCCTAGTCGACCGACGTTCTCTTCGTACTTAGGAGATCAACGCCCTAGGAACGAACGACGTTCGGGTCCACTTGGCTTAAACCAAGCGTATCTATACTACGGCGAACGAGCAAACGCCCTCGGCTTACCTAGCTCTGCAATTGTATCGAAAAACGTTCGCACGTTGGTCAGTAGCTCGGTAGGGATACACCCCTAAGGGTGGTGACAACCCCTTAGGGAAGGAAAGCTTATGCCCCAAGGGAACCTATCCTGTCGTAGGGGACCGTGGGCTGTACAGTTGGTGCACCCAGCTAGAGCGGTGAAGGGACGACGCGACCACGATCGTCTCAGCGGCTCGTGAGATGTGTTGCACAATTCCTAAGTTGTATCTAGTTGTGTTTTGTTTTACTCCTGCGTGACATGGTCGGGAGGGCTCTCGCCTTTGCGAAAAAAATTGGAGCCGATGCGCTCGACAACGCTTCTCACAGTGGTTTATAAATTGGTCGCTAAAGCACTAACAGATAGAATGCTCAAAGTCATAGCTGACATCATCCACCCAGCACAACGGGGTTCATCAAAGGAAGGAATATACAGCATAATTTTCTTCTCACAAATGAACTTATCAAAGTTTCACGCCAGTCTAAACATAATGCAACATTCATCTTCATATACTTTGAGAAAACTTATGATCATGTGGATTGTTTTTTTCTGGACAAGTGTCTCGAAAAAATGAACTTTGGGCCGGTCTTCAGAAAATGAACCAAAATCATGCATCAAAAAGCAACTACAAAAGTAATGATTAATGACAGTTTGACACCTCCAATAGAATTACAGAGATCGGTCAAACAGGGCGACCCATTAGCTTATTTTATCTTTGTAATAATAATGAAAGCCTTAGCGGCCAATCTAAAACATCACAAGGATATTAGAAGAATTCAAGTGACGTCCATTTCGGAAGACGCAATTCTCATGTGCTCCCTTTTTGCAGACAACCTTTCTCTTATGGTTGACGCAACACCGAAAAACATGATTGCAATACAATAATTAATGAATAAGTTTTGTAGGCATGAAGGTCAAGTGAGGGGAAAAAACCTTAGGATGGTGGATACATCATCAGGGAGTTAGACCTCCAGAATCACCTCGAATTAAATGGCTTTCCATAGAGAATCCAATTAGGGTCTTAGGCATCTCGTTGGTTGTTGAAGGGAAACCCACAATTAACAACGAGGTCATCTTCCAAAGTGCTCAGAAAACTAGAGCTTTGGAAGAATGAACATACATCGATAATAGGCAGATCTCTGGTGATTAATAATGTAATCTTAGCCTTTATATGGTATAAATCAGCAATTTGGACCCTAGACAACAAATAACAGCGATTTTGTCAAAACGAACATTTTTTATTTTTTGTACGAAATTAAAAGTCCACTCTGCAGCCAAAATTTGATGAAATTTTGGGTAGGGCGTTCTGAAAACGCCCTACCCCCTCGATGTTTTTGGACTCAGCCAGAGTCCAGATACATGCAGGGGGGTACGACGTTCTGAAAACGCCGTACCCCCCTGCATGTATGTGGACTCTGGTAGAGTCAAAAACATCGAGGGGGTAGGGCGTTTTCAGAACACCCTACCCAAAATTTCATCAAATTTTGGCTGCAGAGTGGACTTTCAATTTTGTAAAAAAAATAAAAAATGTCCGTTTTGACGAAATTGCTGTTAAATGGACCAAATTTCTTCACCTGCAACTGAGAGTCTTCTTGTGGAGAGGAAATCATGATTACAAAATTGTTATTAGTATAGTGGCCTGATCTTCAGTCATCCAACCAAAGTCCAAGGGGGGTTTAGGAATCATTGACTCCTTTCTCCAAGCCATGACACTCTCCATCCAATGGTTCAAAAGACTACTACTCAATCCTCAAACCCCTTGGAGTGGCCTAGTGTGAGAACAATTAACCTAAAGGAGATTGGCCCCTCAGACAGGGGACACCGTGGACCCACCCATGTGCCTAGAGAACAGGGAATGACTCATCCCAAGAGGCACAACCAAGGAGATTGAACCGCTTTAAATGACAAACAAGGAAGCAATAAAAAATAATATTATTAATGACCCTTAGGAGTCGTCCATCTTTGAGTTTAGCGGGTATGACTCTTAGGAGTCGTCCATCTCTCAGTTTAGCAGGTGTCGCTCCCCACCAATAGATTGGAGCACCGGCGAGGGTACTAGGGGGGGATGCTCTTACCACCTCGCCTAGTAACCCGAGCGGTTTAAGGAAAAAAAAAAAAAAAAAAAAAAAAAAGTTTAGCTAATGGTAGTAGTGTTTTTGCCTAGAACGTGTTTTGTTTATCAGACTTCGGTTTTGGACATTGATCAGGGGCTGGTCCCCTCAGGGTAGTGTTCCCTGTAAGCAGAACTGGGTAATGCTCCCAACAGTTATTCTTCCGGGTAGACTGTGAGAACCACGACCTCCAAATATTTTCGCAATAAACGTACATCTTTTGAAGAAAAAAAAAAAAAAAAAAGTTGTGTGTAGAATTGAAATACAAACGACTTTTGGCTGACGGTCATTGGTCACATGATGATTCCTCACATAATCGGAGATAAAAAAGAAAATAACAGAATCATACAAAGGCACCCCACTTTAGACCCCTCTAGCTCCTTTAAAACCAATTTATACCGCCTTCCACCCCCCTTGACAGCCAACTCGCAAACATAGAAATGAGCCCGGATTTGGGGTCCTGGGGAAAGGTTCTACTAGCAACGGGATAGGATAGAAAGGAGTTTGTGGGGCAGTTGAGTGACCAAAATCCCGCCGTGCAGTACTGGTGATCCCACGGTCAGTATTTTACATGTATTACCCGAAAAAGTAAGGAGATATTCGTTTCCCTCCTCCTCTCCTTGACAACGGGCATGTCCGTGCAAATACATCTTCCTGCCAGAATCTTTTCAATCGGTTGGGGGTGTGGCCAACCCCAAACGAGGTTTGGATCAGCCTTAACCCACTGGATAGAAGATTTTCAGTTGGCCCTCTTGCTTGGCCATCCGCCTCGCCCTCATTCGGTTATTGTGGAGGCAGTCTGCCGGTGTCAAGCAGATTAGGCGGGTGTATGACCTGATTGTTGGGGGTTGTTGCGTGGATGGCATCATACAGTTGTCGAGCCATCGCAAACTTGAACCCCAATTCTTTGCGCTTCGTCGAGGTGAGCAGATAAAAAATTCTTTCTCCCTGTCCCAATTTTTTTTGTACCACCCAAAAATGTTCTCCCATCTCGTCATGCACGAATCCCGATCTATATTCGCAACCCCCTGCTGGGCCATCCGCTTCGCTATTTCGTTCCATTTGCATGTCTTCGTCTTCATCCGTACGAAGTTGGTGCCCTGGCTCGCCATATAATCGTCCAGGTCCCTCTTGCACCGCACGAGGACGAGCGATTCGTCCAAATGCCAGTTCTGCCGCGTGCTCCCTCCCCCACTGTCGCCATCCGCACCCCCCCCCTTCCTCCCTCGCCTTCGAGCTCCCACGACTCTTGCTTGTCTTCTTCTTCCCTCCCTTTGATGTGACTTCCTTCACAGCAGGCTCGTCATCCTCCTCGCTCTCATCGTCGCCATCCATGCCGTCCTCCGCCACATCCTCACCGTCAGCGTTGGCGTCACCTCCATCGTCGCGTTGGACGTCCGTACGCATCCTGGAGTACCTCGCTATGATCCTCTCTATCACTCGTGGGGACTCTGCCGCAGTCGTCGTCGTCACTCTTCCATTCAGGACAGTGTGGGGAGCCTCATTGCTGACAGAAGTTGAGAACATCGGCGGTCGGCTATGGCTGCTCGTGCATGCGGACGAAGACCTCGACGGCCGCTGTGTCTCCAGTCTGTCTTCTCGGGCATTCTGCATTGTCACCGACACACCGCCCTGTGACCGACTGCTGTGCTCCACGAGAACGGTTCTTGGTACATCCATCATGCACGCCGGCGACAAGTGCGAAGGATCCCCTCCCGCCCCCTGCGCTCCCGTCAACAAGGTAAACATCGGACCCATCCCACTGCCACGATCACCCGATCTGCCCCCAGACTCGTAGGAGGTCTGTGTCGACCCCCATGCGAGAGGGAGGGTTGAAGGGGGCGGCACCCACTCCTCATCATCTGGCAAGGGCTGCATGTAACTCGACAGATGGGCGTACGACGAGGGGTCGAATCGGTGACGAATTCCGTCCGGAACGCCGTTCGTAGCACCGCCCCCCCATCCCATACATGTGCCCGCCATGAAGATTATCATCGCCCATCCCCTTCCTCACCCTGCCTCCTCCACAGTCCTTCTTTGTTGGCTTCTTCCGCGGACGGGCCCGACTGTGCCTCAACAACTGGCACAGTTGCACCACAATGACGATCAACAATGCGTCAAGGAGAATTGCCAGCAGAGCAGTCATACTGAGGAGGTCTGCCATGCGCACACGTGAGGCGTGATGAAGACAAGCACATCAGGAAGCAGTGCTGCAAACGACAACACGTCTCCTGACACAGTGGCCATTTACATGGATCGGCCACCGCCAAGGGAGTGTTGTGTCCAACCCTCTCATCCCATGCCCGATTGCTGGCCGTTGGCAGGGACGGCGCTACCGAGCAGAACATTTCGTATTCGAATGACCGCCAACAACCATCCGGCCCCTGCCGCTTCCAGAACGACCTTCCTCCCCTCCCAACGGCTACTGTGGCCTCGCAACGGCACTGGAGAGAGCGGTACCACGTCTCGCCGGTGCCAAAGTCCCACCCGAAGGGCTGGTCACAAACGCACTGCACCAGGAACAACCGCCTTTCGACAGAAAACAAAAAAAAATTGTGACAGCCCCGTGAATGATGCGATCCGTGGAGCGGGCCCCTCCAGCACGTCGCGAGACCGCCAGTCTCGAGTCTCAACACATGAGAAAGGAGGCGAGCAGGGCAACCCTGTGTCCAACTGAAGATGCGGGGGCCAGGACGTCACATTTTTTTGGCCCCACGGAACTGTTGCGTAAGGAGCACTTATGGCGGAGGGCGATGTCAGCAAATCCGAATGTATCCGGAGTTTGTGGTGGTCGTCCGAGCCGAGGGAACCGGAGGTCGCACCTTCGCTCCTTCGCAATGCAGGCATCCCGCCCTCCAGGCAAAACGAAGACGCGCCCTCTTTCAGGAGCAAGGTGTTGAGCACAAGAGACCTCTGCTGAGCACGGCGGGATGGACTATCCTGGGCAACGGGAAACAAACTCCTCGGAGACAAGTGCGAATCTACTCGCACTTGATCAGACGTCAGGGTGGCCTCGTCTCGCATGTCGGAATCTCGACTCCCTACGCAGTGGGGGTCAGTTTCCATATACTGGGGACTTCCGGACGTTCTACGCTTTCCGCCCGACCCGTTTCCGTCGGACGCCTTCTCAACCGACGATGTCTTGCCCGTCCCCTTTCCGGCAAACTGTGAGCCGTCTCCTCCACCACCTTCGCCGTCTCCTTCGTCTCCTCCACCACCCCTTCCCGTATGCTGACCGGCCGTGGAAGAATGCGGCATGCGCCAGTCAATGCCACGAGACGGTGTCGTTTCGAGTGCGTAGAAAAACGCTCGAAACTCCAACATGTTGCAATATGTTGTTGGCGTACAACTCATGTAACTTTTGTTCTGCATACGCATCGACGTCCTGATCGTTCCTTTCGGGGTTCATGAGACTCAAATGCTCCACCAAAGCAGTTCTTGCCTTTCTCTTAAATGCACCCGCTCCCTGTCTCTTCAGTCCAGTCCACTTGCCATCGGCCTCCTTTATTGCCATGACCCATATTCCATTCCTCACAGCAGGTTGGAATATCCTCGGGTGCCAGACGATGTTGTGTCCCCAGACATCCTCCGACATGAACCGGTGATGCTTGCCGAAGAAGTAGAGTCTGTCATTCTGCCAGGTGTCATGGTCCACAGGGAGCCTGTCACAAGGTTCGTGATCATAGTCTCTCTCTTTCTCCTCGTCATCAGACGATTGGTCGTCGGCTGGTTCGCCCCGAAGCACATGCTTCAAACCGGCAGGGGACGTGCTATATCTCCGAGGGTCACCTTCCTCTTCATCACTAACCTGTCCAACCACCCGGGGAAGTGGCATGGACTCGAAATCGAAGGTTTCAGAGTCGCTCAGCTCCTCCATGTCTTCAACGTCGAAAGGGTCCTCCTCGTCAAACTGTGACTTGTAGTTTTCGAGAGTGAGCGGTTCGGCCAGCGTGAAGTAAACGTGCTCCAGCCTTCTCAGGAAGTGCGAGACAGACTCCCTGGGTGCACCGTGGTACCCATTGAGCACAGCGAACACCAGGTTTCTCCGTCGACTGTATTCGAGGTCGGTCGGGCCAGGCGGTCCGGGTCCGAAAAGGAAGTCCCAAACGTCCGTCCTTTTGTTCCCCAGCAATTTTCAATGCATGTCACGTTTGGGATCCCAGTTTCGTTCGTCGGTGGTGCAGGCAAACTCGCAAGCATTGCGAGTGTCTGCAACGCGTGCCTTCACGAACTCGTGAAGGTAATCGACCATCTTCGCCTCCTTCTCCAACGCGACGACGTTCCGACCGGTGCGCAGGAGTTCCCACACGACAGACGCATGCGCCTTCCCAAAGAAAAAAAACAGTTTGACCAGCTTTGCAAAAGTTTACAAGTAGACCAAGTAGACGCTTCGGATGGCCGCCCGCGGATTGCACGAACACTCCCCTTAGCGCGAGAATGTCGTCAAGGATCGACAGTTTTTCGACATCGGTCATGTCGGCGAGACACTGCCAACAGAACATGTCTGGCTCCTTCACGACCATGAAAAACTTGTCGTCCGCTTGCGTTTTCTTTTTGGTAGGAGGCAGAGGTACCCGGACAAGCCACCCCATCTTCGTTTGACCAGCCGCCCCTTTCGAGACCATTTCCGGAATTGCTTGCAGACCCGGAGATTTGTCTGGCATGTATTTGCCCGGCCTCGACAATGGCGTCTTGCCGTCGCTGCCCAACAACTTCCCCTCCGCCCATTTCACGTAGAACTCCATGGCTTTGTGGAAAACGTCATCACCGACCGTCACGAGCGGCATCCACTGCCTCAATGCATTGTCAACGGCAGCGACATACTCCTTGTCGGCGAGCGATTTATTTTTTTCTGCCAACGACCAGTGAGCTCCGTTCGGACTTATTCCCAAAATCAGCTTTTGGAAATCGAAAAACTTTTGTTTTTCGCCCTCCTTGCCGGAAGGGTTCCCTTGAATGGCCATCGACCTTCCTTCTTTCTCCCATGCCTCCCTCATGTCCAAGAACGCGGCCTTCTGCGATCGCTGCTTAGACCTCTTGTGTCTCGTGTTCTCGTTGAGACTGACCTGCCTATAGCCCGCGAAATCTCGGTCGGAGAACCACACCACTCTCGCCGGCTACGAGTGCATCTTCCACAATATGAATATTGGCACACCCTCCAACTCCTTCACAGCAGCCACGGTGTGTTGTCCGTTAACAGGGTAAAAAGTAGTACTTGTCCTTGTCCTCTGGCTTGAAGACATCTTTGTGAACCCTTTCAGCTTGCTCCGGCCTACGCTCCACCGGCTTGTAGATGGGTGTCAGAATCAAAGGGTTTTTTGTCCAGATTCTGCCCCTTTTCTTGCGGAATTGACGCAGCATCGCAGCCTTGATGTCGTCCACAGTTTCGCGATTTAGACCGCGGTGGTTGTAATATCTTTCCCAAGACGGGATGTCGCAAACCTTCCTGGGTCGATGAGCAGTTGGACGGGGAGCTCCTTCTCCACGATCTCACCGCCATCGTTCCGCTCGTATTCGAGCCAGAATGCTGCCGCTTCGTCGCACTCCTCACCGACAGGCCGTTCGCCCCCGCTCGCCGCCTTAGCAGTCTTCCGCCTTCGAGGTTTCTTCTGGCCATCGCCTTCTTCAGCTGCCACTTTCCGTTTCGATTTCCCCGGTTCTCTCGCGGCCGCAGCGCCTGGATCAGCCGAATCTCCTCCACCCGCGGCTTGTCCTTCGCGGATGGTCAAACCGTCGGGCCTCCTCGCTTTCTTACTTGTCGTCCCACCCTCTTCGTTCGTCGGCCTCTTTCCCGAGGCACATTCTCCGTCGCCACCTCCATCCCCGCCCGTCACCGCGTCCGGTTTTCCTCTCATCCTCTTCATGCAGAGGGTTCCTTCCGCCACCTCCTCTCGCACCATCCTCTGTCGCTCGCTCTTCTTCTCCGAAGGAGTCTGCTCCCCGCCAGAGCTTCCGAGAACAACGCCCATCCCTTCAGCCTCATTCCCTCCAACATCTAGCCCCGATCTGCTTGAATCTCTTCTCGTCTCATCTCGAAGCGAATACGTGTCGGCGCCGCAGCGGACCTTGATAAGTTTCGGAATGCCGACCCGTTGAGTCCCTGTACCCTGAGAATGCAAGTCCGACGTGTTCCTAGGAGCATCCGGGCCAACCTGCGTGTGAACGCTGCGTCCCTTGATCCGACCCCCAACGTCTTGAATCGGACTCCCGCGCCCCACTGTCATACCTGGAGTTTCTTGAGCCAAGCCGGACGACCCCTCACGGGGTGGCAAAAGCCGGAAAACATGCTCTGGCGCTCTGGCGGAAGAACCGGACGTTCTTTCGGCACCATCAGCGCGAGATCGAGATATTGCTCTGGCGATGGAAGACGCTTGTTGCCGCCATCGTAAAGGCCTTTGAAGTGAGAGCACAACGGCATGTTCGAGCCGTACCCCGCGAAACTTTTGATGGTCACCAGCACACCTTTAACACCTCTGATAGGCAGTCTGCACTCGTCGTACATGCCGTTAGTGTGCAGCTTGAGGAAACCTCCAGAAGTCTTCGCGTACGAGACGACGGTACCGACAGGAACAACGTTGACCGCTCCCCCAGCGTTTGTAACGCAAGTGGGTCGCATGAAAACAGCTGGCCCAAAAAGGTCCCCCTGAACAATGAAGTCCAAAAACCATGGTGCTCCCTTTGCGTGCATATATCGAGGAGTAGGTTGTTGTGCAGGTCGTCCCTCCTCGGGGGCAGATGGTCCAGCGCTTGTGGATATGTTCTCTGCGGACGCCATTGTATTCCCACCCGTTGACTAGCACGCCCAACCTCAGACCAACTCGGATGACTAATACGCCCAAACCCAGACCACTACAGAAGCGAAGTGCGAACTAACTCGGACTTAACGAAATGGAGGACAAAAAGGATGTACTGCCTGTCGTGAAAGGGGGTCACTAGGAAGGACCAACCCTTGGTCAACCCCCAACCATGTCTACGAGACGCAGTTGAACGGGTTCGTGAACGTGAGGTGCGGGTAGGATTAGGAACTAGACGCGTTCGGTCAGGAAAGAGACAGCGTTTTCCTATGCATTGCGTTATGGGTGTTCGAAATGCACATGAAGTCACAACAATCGGGTGAAGGATAGGAAACACAGAAGTTCGGAGGGAAATCGAAAACTGTTCGGAAAGATTGCGACCCAACTAGATGCCCTCGAAACGAGTAAGATGTGGTTTATCGACAAGTGCAAAGGGTGTCGACAAGTGCGAACTAACTCGCAGTTCTGTAGACAAGACAACAATGGCAACCCACTGCACTAGGGCAAAGTGCGAACTAACTCGGAATTGTGGAACTGAAGACCTTAAAGACGCACGAAACGAGTAAGAAGTAGTTTATCGACAAGTGCGAATCAACAAGTGAGAACTAACTCGTTGTTCTGCTAACAAGACGACAATTGCAACCTGAAGCACAACGAGAAAGGACGAACAGACTCTGAATTGTGGAACTGAAGTCCTGGTTTATCGATAATTTGCGAAGGGTTTCAACAAGTGCGAACTAACTCGCAGTTCTGTAGACAAGACAATAATGGCGATGCGCAGCACTAGGGGAAAGTACGAACTAACTCGGAATTGTGGAACTGAAGACCTAAAAGCCGCACGGGTTGGGTTGTCAACACTCCAGCAGTGTTGCTAAAAAGTGCGAACTAACTCGCATTTGTGGAAATAAAGAACTGCCTTTAATGAAATATGTGTCTAACCTTGGAAAAACTGCGAATAACCTCGCAGTTGTCACTCCTCGAACAATGTACGTCGCAAACTGCGAACTGACTCGCAATATATCTTTCTCTCTATATATGAATCTATACATACATATATATATATATATATATATATATATATATATATATATATATATATATATATCAGGTCGGTGACCTCACAAGGGACGGGTGAGCGAAAATCGGGAATTGATTCGGTGTTCAGTGTAGAAACTAGGTATTGATTTGGGGTTCGCCATGCACAGCGACGACTGCAAGTTGCGAAGGGGATCGAGCAGCTTTATACGAACGTTATCGTGGCTATGGCGAAAGGTAATCGAGCTGCAGAACGCGGATCGGCTATGGCGTACGGAGGTGGAGGGTGGAGAAAAGATATCAGAGCACGTCCACTGGTGAAACAACAAAACTGGGAATTGATTCGGGGTTCAACAGAATGCGGCTGCGGCGTTATATCCTGCAGGTACAGACAGGGCATCTGGGAATGTGTTCGGACGTCGGACAGAGAATAGGACAACTCAAGTTATATGATTTTACCTTCGCCGTGCGTTGAACGAGCAACCAACCACTTAACCAGCTATGGTGGAGGGATATCGAGCTAGGAAGAGCGAAGACCGAGGAGCGAGAGCGAACCGAACACAATGTGGCAACTGTGGACGGAGCGAAGAGCGAAGAGTGAGCGGGCTATGGCGGAAGGTGGTGGGGGGTGAAGACCAAATATCAGAACGCGCGCGGAAGCGATAGCGCGACTTGATTTGTGGAGCTCCGACAAAAGGGATAACTCGAGGGCTGCAACGCCTTTTATACTTTGTTGCAGCAGGCCTCACGTCGGGATCAAGGTGGGGCCGAATCGATTCGCATATCGCACCCCTGGGCCCATAAAACGCCATCAAGGTGGGGCCGAATCGATTCGCGTATCGCACCCCTGGGCCCATAAAACGCCAGGGCCTATAAACRGTAAGGGGTACCGRAAATTGTCAGYCGTCGATCAACAATTTTCAATYGCGCAGATGAACGGAGCCACTRTTATRCCAGTGGCCCCAAAATCTCCGTCTACTCCGGCGTGCAATGATGTGACAGTTCCCGAAAACAAGGGGCAGGCAATGTCATTTTCGCAGTTGTAATCTGGACCGTCGATCGGCATGATCCGACGCACGAGGTCAGGCGCAAGAATCTATAAGGTGCGGCGATTCGTTGTGCGCCAGGGCGGTTCGTTGCGCGTCGAGGCCAGGCGACGGTTTTGTCGCTGTTATTCAGACATTTTGTAAATGTCAACGGCGTTCGATATCGATGCGCTTAGCCATGCACCATCGTTATCGATGCGCTTAGCTCATCGCCATCGCCAACGCTCGCCATGCACCATCGCCATCGATGCGCTTAGCTCATCGTCATCGAGACGCAAAGCTATATCCCCCATCGCAGCCGTCGCGCTCGCCTGACCATCGCAGCGCTGACAATCGTCATCGCTCTCACAGCGCTGGCCATCGTTGCGCCATCACAATGCTGGTACCATAGCTACCATCGCAACGTTGGTTCCATCGCTGCGCCATCTCTCAATCGGTGCGCCATCGCTATCACTGCCATCGCTATCGCTATTTCTGCCTTCGCTATCCTTGCCCCAGAGGCTCTCCATTACTCGTGCGCGATCCCCCCATCGCCATTGTATTGTTGTTTCAGACCGTCGTCGGTGCAGCCGCCCATCACTGTGGAATCGCACGAAACAAGTGACAGGTATGCTTAACGAAGGTTTAACTCGATGAAACTGATGTTGTGCAATAACAAATTTTGGTCATCGTTGTGCCTTCTCTCTCCATCACTGAGGCATCGCCAACCATTGTTGCGCGTCCTCTCTCCATCTCTCTCCACCGATGCGCGATCTCTACCGACCTTTCGTCATCTATCCCCATCGCTGCGGTATCTTTCCTAATCTATATCCTTCGTCATCCATCTCCTTTGATGCGTTATCTTTCCTAATCTATCTCCTTCGTCATCTATCTCCATCGCTGCGTTATCTTTCCTAATCTATCTCCATCGTCATCTATCTGCTTCCATGCGCCATCTTTCTCCATTGCTGTGCTATCGCTAACCATCGCTGCACATGCTATCTCCATTGCTGCGCCATGTTTCTCCATCGGTGCGCAATCTCTCTTTCTCGCTGTGGCACACCTCCCAATCAGTTCGCGATCTCTTTCCCTTCCTGCGCCATCCACCTTCTTCCCCGGAATATACAATGCACTTTCATTATAGTTGTCTTTAGACTGAAAGATGAGCGGACGTTGTATTCGGGGGAAGACTGTGACTCCATCCATTTCTCTTGGTGCGCCATCTCTCTCCAAGTATTTTCATCGATGCGCTGTCTGCCCATCGCTCTGCAATTTTTCTCCATCTAACAAAATAGCACGCCATCTTTCCCTATTTCTCTCTTGCGACGATCTGTGGCTCCTACTACACGCAGAACAAGCCGGAAATAACTTGCATTTGTACCCGTAGTTTCGTAATGGAAATGGTCGTTTACAAGTGCGAATTCATTCGCTCTTGAACCAACCAACCCCTTAATTTGTCACTGTTTAGTCCATAGGTCAGAATGAACTCGCACTTGTACCCCCAGTTTCGTAATGAAAATGCCCGTTTGCAAGTGCGAATTTATTCGCTCTTCAATCAACCATCCCCCTAAATTTCTTACTCTATAGCCCAAAAGTCCCAGTTTCATGGTGGAAATGTTCGTCTGCAAGTGCAAATTTATTCGCTCTTCAACCAACCATCCCCCCAAATTTGTGACTCTTTAGTCTATAAGCCCCAGTTTCATAATGGAAATGCTCCTTTGCAAGTGCGAATTTATTTGCTCTTCAACCATCCATCCCCCTAAATTTGTTCCTTTTTAGTCGATAATTCGCGTCTCCTCTCGGCCGAAAAGAATGAAGTCCTTTTGTATTTGCAAATTAACTCGCCACTGAACCAACCACGAAGGCAATTTCTTATTGCACGGCGTAATCAAAATGTTCCTCTGAAGTGCGAATTTTTTGGCACTTGAAATTTCTCGCCGTTTAGTGGATAATACCGAATCGACTCGCACTTGTGTTCGCTCTTGTTCTGACCATGAACTTAATTTCTTACTGTACGTTGAATAAGTCCGAATCAGCTCGCATTTGTACTCTCGCCTGAAAAAGTGCGAGTTTACTCGGACATATCCAAACCACTTGCACACTGAACGAGTGGGTGAGGAGTCGGACTTGAGATACCACTTGAGCCTCACATTAGGGTCCGGCAAAACGATATGGATTCAAATGTTGTTGTTCCACTGTTTTGTGATAAATGTTTGAAATGTGAGTTTACTCCCTCTTGTTTATTTCCCTGACCTCGTCATACGTTGACGTGATTTTTTTTTTTGTACAGTTTTCGTGTGAATCGTCTCTTCAAATGGTTGTCCAATCCGTCCACTGCGTCACTCCACCGCCACCGTCACGATAACACGGAGAAGACGATGTTCGAGAACGTAGTTCTTGTGACAGCAGCCCGGAAGCTCCCTCTGATCGGCATTGCGGTTTGAAAAGGGAGTTTTCGATGTTGACCCCGACGAATCGTTCAGGCTCGTCTACGATGTCCGCCCGGCGTCGTTTTGTTCGCTTTACCGACGTTCCCGACGGTCAGCGCGTATCTACAGCGCTAATCCCCGTTAGTGAGGGTGTTCGGGATGTCGAGACGTTTCCCGGTGGGTGGATGTTCGTGGACACAGATTTATGTGGTGTGTCCGAAACGACTGGATCAGATCTCGTGCGGACAGTGGGTAGACTATCTGAAAGCATAAAAGTTAGCCAACCCTTAGCATGTGACTACAGTCGGTCGTTGGTGGACACAGACTTCTGCGGTATGCCCGATAGAAACAGATCTGATCGGGAACAGTGCGGTGCATTTGGTAGAAACGGGTATGATAGGGACCAGGCAACGGTACTTGCATGTGGAAGTGCGAAGATAGGTAAGAGAATTGCATGTGAAGCTGGAATAGTTGGCTCTCCGTCGATGACAACGACGGGTGCAATGAAAAATTGCCAGACTCGTTTTGTAAACACAGATTTCTACAGTTCA